ATGCAGCTGACAAGGTACTCGACCAGAACAGACTACGGAATAACAAGCAGCAAGCTGAAGAACCCGACGGAAATCGCTACTGCAAGATGGCAAACTTTGCTTGGAGAGGAAATTCCAGACATGCCTGCAAAGTCTGAGCTGTTATGGCAGACTATTGCGAGGCGGCCAAATGGCAGACAAGTAAGCATTCTGTGGTTACTATCCATGCTAGTCACTCCATCAGCTGTATGGCTAGTGAGCAGGGGGATGAAAGTGAACATGCGATGCCCAGGATGCAGATGACCCTTCGAATCAACACAACACCTGTGGTGGGAGTGCCCGAATTAAAGCGTATCTGGAGATGGTGGTCCCAACGCTGGTCCTCCTTTGGAGCCTCAAGTGTAGTGTGGGATGAGAAGTGGGTTCTTTTGGGCTTTCTCCCACCGGGCACAAAGGGAAAGAGGGGTTGGGGTTATGTGGCTCACGCGGTAAAAGGTCTGCTGTGCGAAGTCATCTGGGCGGACAGAAACAAAGCAAGATTTGAGAACTGTCCACTGTCTGACAGACAAATCAAACATCGGGTGAAAACGGGCAACGAGCTTGAAGCAAGCAATCAGAGTGGACTGGCGGAAGAGAGTCGGAGCTGGCAGAAGAAACAGGAGACAACAAAATTGGTTCCTCAGTACCTGGTCGAGGGAAAATCAGCTTGCAACAGTTCACATTACCAGGGGCTTAGTTATCTATGGTATTATTATTCCAAGTATTTTGGCTAAAATGCCAATTATATACAATTTCATTTTGTTTGTTGTTTTTTTAGATGTTGTCAACGCATGAAATAAAACAAGCCGCTTCTCGATTTATCACACGTACTCTTACGGACACGGGAGTGTAGATTAGGATCAACCAGGACAGGATCAACCAGGACACTCGGTTGAAGTAAGGTCGCACTGGCAGTGGACCACTAGGAGAGTGTCAGTAGGAACAGTTCGAACAGGACAAGCTCCTCTGGGCCGAACTAGTCCCAAAAGTAGGGTAGAGCAGGAAGTTATCCTTAGAGGTAAGTTTTGTAAGTTTCAATCGATCTGCACATTTCGTCAATACTTAAATATGCATGGAATAACCTATCAAGACAAGATAGGAAAAGATTTCACTTGTGGACGTGAGCCGCAATACACAGAAGCATGAGAGACTGTCGGGGTCAGATCGTTAAAGATAACAAAGCTTTCAGTTAAATAAAAGATAGGAAGAATTAAAGGGTGTGGTATTCAAAGCGAAACCGGCTGATGCTGCCGGGATAACTTCCGGGTTGAGTTGTGAGGTCCCCGACCTCTATCAAATAGTTTTGGCAATCGAATTGAGTTCGTTTTAAATTAAAAAAAAAAAAAAAAAAAAAAAAAAAAAATTGCCCTGGTGCACAAGATGGAGGACAAAAGGTTAAAAGTATATTTCGGTGTTCGGTTTTTAAACGTCACAAGTTTGATAGGAGATGGGTGAGATAGACAACGCCTCACTTCGATGTTTCATGACATGTAACTAGAGAATCTACATCCAGAGACAAGTGATCAGGGCTCATCTAGTCTAGCCCTAATGGAAAAACGCGGCACTAAGGCTGATATTGGGCTACGCCTTTCACACATTGGACAAACTTGTTTTTGCCTAACGATTTTCAATTATAGGTAGGTGACAAGTAGGTTAGAACACCTGGTCATTATAGTTGTACTTGGTGCAACTTTCAATCCAGATACCACAATAATTACCCGGTGTGTTCTATTTGGGTGAAGACGATTGACTGCTTTCTTTCTCTGTTGTAAGTAGGCTTAGCAGAAGTACAGCGCCTTTCAAGGTTTCATAACTCTGATCCCGGTTTGAGCTCAGTTGATGTGCCTTGGTCATCCTTCTTCACCACCCCAAAAGTATATCATGGATGTTGCGCGCTGTACCCAACATTCAAAATGTATTATACAATGCTTTTTCTCATAACACACCGGGCGGTATTGATGTTTCTTTTTTGTTTTTCTAATGGTTTTTTCATGTTTCCCCTACAACATACAAGACTACTCTTTTCTTATTTATCTGAAGCTAGAAAGATTCTCACGCGCGGCTGGTCCTGCCCGGCCGGGCACCCGGGCGTGACGCCCGGGGTACTTAGGCTTGCAACCAATAAAATAAAATAAAATAAGATAAAAAAATAAAAACAAAATTGGTTTTCTGTGCTCTCCCAGAGGATCCCAAATCCGGGCTCATTTCAATTTTTGCGAGTTGGCTGCCAAGGGGGGGAGAGGGGGGTGTAAATTGGTTCTAAAGGGGCTAAAGGGGTCTAAAAGGGGGTGCCTTTGTGTGATTCTGTTATTTTCCTTTTTATCTCCGATTCTGTGAGGGATTATAATGTGACCCTCAACCAAAAGTCGTTTGTGTTTTAATTATACACAATGTACTGTTTTTTCAGAATTTTTTGATTTTTGTTTTTGTTTTGTTTTTTCACACTAGGGCTGCCCAGAACCGTGTCCGGGGGTCGTGCCTGGCCGGGCACCCAGCGTGTACCCGGGCAGAAGTAGGGTGCCCGGACGCCTGGATTAACATCCTAGATCTAAAGTGCAGACATCCACTGTTCATCAAGTATTGGTACCATACAGGGCTGCTCTTTTGATGAGAGTAATTGAGATCAAATGACGTTCCTTTCATTCCTCTGTGTCCGATCGTTTCCTCCTGAGGGTGAACTTTCTCTTTTGCCTGCTTTTAGTATTTTCTCTAACCTGTATATTTTTTGTTTTCTTTTCCCCACAAAACAGACACTGCCCCATCAATTTCTTGGGGGCGTCAATCTGCTTGGTAATTTTATCTACAAGCAAGTTCCGAACAAAACATAGACCAAATAAAATTAAAAAAAAAAAAAACAAACAAACATATAGACAAGGAGAAGAGTGGTTCTTAGGTTTAATTTTTTCAATGTTTTTTTTTTTTTTTTTCTCCCAAAATTTGGTTCCCCTTTTTGAACTTGTGGATGCTGTTGACAAATTTTAGACTTGTCATTGACCGATGAGGCTCGCTCAGTTTTACACCCAAGAAGTGGCATGAACTGCTCAAATACAGAGCAGAGTTTGAATATGCTGTTGGAACTACCTGAATGAGATATGATACTTCTGAACTCTATGGCGCCGCTCAGTTCGATGCTGGCATCTGAAGGCTGTAATTAATTTACCTATTCGAAAAATTAAAATGAAAGAACTAATTACCACCACCACCATCACCACTTAGGGCGCATGAGTGTCCGTGCGCGTCTATTGAAACAAAAAAGGAAAACATCCGTGCCCCGAATATCTTTTAGCGTACCATCAAAATTGGCCTTCCCTCTCAATCCCCCGGCAGCAGAAGAGAAACGACCGCACATGAAACTTTTGAAAGTTAGTTCTATAGTCAACCATCAAACTGCCCAGGCTTGCACAACTAGGTATAGGTTACAGCACTTCAGGTTTTTTTTTTTTTTTTTTTTTTTTTTTTCAGCACTTCAGTTTCAAGGTAGGCTCTTCTCTGCCCTCAGTGAGCCAAAATAATGTTACATTTTAATTCTTCCTGGATTTGTTTTTCTAGGAGTTTAAGGGTCTCGTTAGACACTCCTAAAAGTTCCAGTTTTTAGGATTGCGTGTTGGTTGCACGCAATCCTAAATCGGCTGCGAGATTCGAAAATGTGAAAACGGCGTTAGGACTCGTCCTAAAAGTTCTAGGATTCCCCAGGCAAATCGTCCTCAATTTTCCTGTAGCCCCGGAGCTACTGAAAAATTTAGGATTCCCGATTATCACGGAGTCGGTGCATCGCGCGCATGGCACCGTCGCCACGGGGTTGCTGGTCCAGTAGCGGTCCGTCGGATGGGCGGTCGGACATCGGAGTTTTGGAGTGGGCCGAGGCGGGCAACGGCCAGCGGTGGTAGCCGGTGGCAGCCGGTGGCGATCGGGGCGGTGGGGGTGGGGCTGGGGGGTCTGGCGACCGTCTACGGGCTGCGGCCGTAGTGGACCGTTGTCTCGACGTTGCTAGCGACGGTGGAGGACGACGTCGGTCTCTCCACGACGCACGGTGGCGCGGGCTCCGAGTGGTGGCGGCAACGGTCGTTTTTTGAATCGCATGCTGCCACCTTCGTTGTCTTCTCTGGCTGTTGTCAGCATATGAAGGTCCACCGGGCGCGACTCCCCCCACATGTTACAGCAGTAAGGTGCAGTAGCAGTCGGGTGCGCAGTTGGGGTTGGTGGTGAATTTGATGGCTGGCGTGGGGAGGAGATTTCCTCTGCTCGTGCTCGCCGTCGTCGTCTTCCTTCACGTGTGTTTGTCGTGGCGCCTGTGGAAACAACATTGCAAGAGGAGGGCGTCGACAAAACGGTCGGCAGGAGAGCGTACAATGGCGGGCATGCAGGGACGCACCGGTGTTGGTGCGGGTCAGGGCGGAATACGAGCTGCGACGGCGGAGCCTCCACGGCGGTACGACCCATCCATGTACGCCCATTTGCAGTCGTAGGAGACGCCGCTGCCCCGGTCAGACGAGGAGCCCGAGACGGAAGAACTGCCGACGTTGCCTCTTGCCAGCGGCTCGACGCAACTTTGGTCGCAGACGGTACGAGCAGGCGGTTCGGGTTGCAACGAAGGCGGCGAGTACACGTCTTTGCTGCAGCAAGGCTTGGGAGACGACGACGACGGAGGACTTGATCTCAGGTTCGGCTTATGTTCTGGCGGGTCCAAGGAGGCGAGCCGTACGTTGATCATCGACACCGATCCTTCGATACGTGGCGTGGAACAGGGTGGGAATCAGCGTACGGATCAAACCACCCTTCGTGCCCGTGCGTCCGTCGCTGCCAGTGTCAGGCCATCTGCAGTGCTCCGGCGTCAAGGTTCCACAACACCGCCCGCCGATCGATCGACAAGTAACTGACCTGCACGCAATGGAGCCGCAGCCGGGTCACCACGCGTCGAGTGTGCACGTCCTTCGATGCCCGAACGCACAACATCGACCCAATCCGACGTGAGGGACGCGGGTGCATGCAGACCACTGGTGCGTCCAGTACCCACAGTGGAGAACATCACACGAGGTGTGTCGAACATGCGGGCACACAGTGATGGCGGCGACGATGCTGACGAGCGATTGACGGAGGATGTGGACGCAGGGGACGACGACGAAGACATTCTTGTTCCGCCGTTGGGGAAGACGGGTGGAAGGGGTAGAGTACGCAGCAGCGGTGCTGTTCGTGGTCGATCCGTTGGCCGCGGCGGCAGAGGCTGTGTCAGCGACGATGCCGGGAAGTCTGTGATGTACTGGTCTCCGGAGGAACAACTGCAACTAGTGAGATGCAAGAGGGAGCAAGAGATGCACCTCGCCGGGTTGGGCCACAACTACGGGCAGATGCGGACGAAGGACTGCAAGTGGGACGACTTTGCAAAGCGCATGGCGAGCGCGGGGAAACCGAAAGACGCGGACGACTGCATGAAGAAGTGGGACAATCTGTTCCAAAACTACAAGAAGATACGGTGGTTTCAGAACGCCAGCGGCCGTCCTGATTTCTTCGGCCTTACGAATGAGGAAAGGAAGGAGCACAATTTCAAGTTCCGGATGGAGAGAGCGCTTTACAACGAGATCCATGCTGGCATGCTGGGCAACCATACAATTTTTCCACCGAACATCGCCAACACAGGAAATCCTGATGGGGTGCAGCTTCCCAGGAGAGGAGGTGGCGGTGGTGAGTCGGTTGGTAGTGAGGCTGGTGGTGAAGGCTTCCCCGAGGAACGTTCTTCTGCGCGGGAGTCCGAGAACAACGCAGGCAGCGGGGCTAGAGGCGGCAAGCGGAAGAATGCACGTCAACAGGCGTTGGAGTCGATCGCCGATGTCATGGATCGACATGGCGAGCTGATGTCGTCGACGATCGAATCCTCCAGCAAGCGGCAATGCAGCATTTTCACGAGGCAATGTGACATACTGGAGCAGGAAGTAGCAGTCTAGAAAGAGGACTACGCGGCGTCCAATGAAACGCAGAGGACGATGTGCCACGCGCTTCTGGAAATCGATGCGGCCATCCGTGGTCGGACGACGATGTAGTGGTCCTTGGTGTCCCATCCGAGTGTTCAGTTGTGAATATTTTTAAACATTTTTTATTTTTTTCTTTTGTTTCATGAAGGTTGTGTGTGCGTGTGTGTGTGTGTGTGTGTGTGTGTGTGGGGGGGGGGGGGGGGGGGGGGGGGGGGGGGGGGGGGGGGGGGGGGGGGGGGTTGTGTGGGGGTAGGAATTGCGGACGTGGGTCATAGCGATCGGTAGGGGGGTTTATTTTCGACGTGCAGGGCGGGTGGTGCTTGGTTTTTCTTTTAGCCCCATGGCGAGTGATGTTAAGCGCGTCGCCAGGGACGCAGAAGGGTCATTTCGCGCGTCGGGGAAGAGCGAAATGACACGCCATGTATAGCCTGGGCGGTCGCGCGTGCCACCCTTGGCGAGGCAGTTCACCGCGAAGTGGGACGCTGCATCGCGGGCGGTCCACCGCGATCAGATCACTTCAAATCTGCGCACCCGAAGCCGCACGACCATCTCTACATCTACGCGCACCTGTGCTGAAGCCCGTGGCGCGCGCTGTTCACGCCAGGCCGTGGGAGTCGTCGTCCTTCTGCCGTGCACGCGGACGTCGCCCGTCAGTCTTCTCGCCACGGAGCGCCGTCGTCGACGATCTTCTCTCTCCTGTCATCTCCAACCTATTCCCCGTCGAGCACTCTTGCCGTCGCCGTCGTCCTTCTGTCTGCCACTCGCAAGTCGACCTCTTCTTCCTTCGGTTGGCAGATCTTCTGCGTCGTGCGGCTTTCCTTCTTCGTCACGGCAGTTCGCCGCGGGAGTCATTGTTGTCGTAAGATCTGCAAACTGCCAGGCTTTTAACGGCGGGCGAGTGGACACGTGGCGGTCTTCACATCGCGTCGCGTGGCTCGCCTACACGGGTCGCGAGGGAACATGTCTGCGCGTGGGACGGGCCGTGGGAAGAAGCGCGAAGGACTGCCTGACGACAGCCAAGTGACTGGAAAAGGTCGGAGGCATGTCCTGAAGGCGAAGAGGCTGCGGTCGGACGATGCGCCGACAAGGGTCCCTCTTGGAGGAGCGCAAGGTTGGGCGGCAGAAGCGGGGGGCGACGACGACGGCGACGACGACTTCGTGACTGACGAAGATCAGGGACTGGCGACTGCGTCTGGAGTTCGGGAGAGTGGAGGGCAACGACAATCTGATCACAGCGCTTCAAAAAGGTTGATGACCCCTCCACCCGAGACAAAGCAAGTGCGCGCCCGCAACAGGCGGACTGACGACGCTCACGCCGACGATGTTGGTGACGACGATGACGAGCCCTTGGAAAGACGCCTCCTGCGCAGTCACACAGCAGCCACAGCGCTTTCAACGCACCTTTTCTTTAGTCTTCTTTGTTTGTCTGCCCTCCACCTTCGCACCGTTGTTATCCTCTCAGCGATGGATGATCAAAAGATGTTTGCCTCGCATGCATGCACACAACCGAAGACGACGTCCCTAAAATGCGCTTTGTATTCGTTGTATGAGGTCGACCAACTATCATCAATGTTTTCGACATCATTTTGTGAAGCTCGCAAAAAAGATCGTGACAGACGAACCGACGAAAAAGATCGTTGTATGAGGTCGACCAACAGCACACGAAAAAGACCGTGATAGACGAACTGACGAGGTAATAATTGAGACAAACAAAAAAATTTATAAAAATATTGCAAGAAAAAAAAAAGAAAAACAAAGACTCGTCCTGAAACGAAGAAGATTTCATGAAACACATAAAACTGAGCCAAACAAATAGCAATTCCCACCGCATGATAGCAATGCAGTCGAGCGAGTCGCCGATGACACAAAAGAACAACATACGAATGGCAGTTGGAAGCTCAATCCAATCAAAAATAAAAAAGAAAAAAAAACATTTGAAGCGACTGACACCAGGGAAAAAAAAAGGTCATTCCAATATTAAATGTTCGCACGTACGTGCGAACCACGCAACCCTCCACACGACGAACACCGCAAACGAAGTCATCACCGACGACCATGCATCCGTCCGCTCTACAGAGCTACTTCGCGGACGACGACCGCGGGCCACTGGCCACGTCAAAATATGAACCCTCTTACTGATCCCACCGACCGACGTCCGCAATCCCGACACCCTTGACACACACACACCCTTCACACACACGCACCAAACCCCCACCACGCGTCTAAGTGTTCCTACATCAAAGCCAGCCGGTCTCGAAGAGCGTCACGCAACAAGTCCCCGTCGACGTTTGTGCAACGTTGCCGCCCGCCCGCGCCGTTCCCCACAATGCCCAAGTCCACTCTCCGGCGCACACCATTCTCATCCACCTCCCACAACAGGTTTTCATCGAAGTCGATCCCGGCGTCTAGGAGGATGTTGTGCAGAGTGCACACTGCCACGAATTGCTGCGGCAAGGTATCCAGGTTCGTCTTGTGGGTGCGCAAGAAAAGACGCCACATGCACTTCAGCCGCCCGAAAGCTCTCTCCACACACATCCACGCCACCTTCTGCCGCGTGTCAAACCGCTCCTCGTCACGACCTTGGTCGATTCCTCCGTACGGTTGCACGATCCAGGGGCAGACAACAGGATAACCGTTGTCGCCTAGCAGGTAACCTCGCGTGACGACTCCGTGCGGCAGACTCACCGGAGGTGCGTCGAACAGCTCGCCAGCTTGTGCACGCCTCCATAGCTGGGAATTGTGCAGGACACGAACGTCGTGCACGCTTCCCGGGTATCCGATGTGGACGTCCATGATCCACAGATCCAAATCCACTACCACCTGCGCCTGCACGGAAAACTTCTGTTTGCGGTCGTAGTAGTTGGCAGATGGTGCGCCGGCGGGCTTGTCAATGAAGATGTGTGTGCAGTCGATTGCGCCGAAGCAGTTGGGGAAACCCTTGTCACGGAAAGCACGCAGAATCTGCGCGCGTCTACGGCCCACTGGCCACTTTATCGCGTCTGGGTACGCCTGCAGCAGTGCCGAAGTGACGTCGCGGACGGCCTGCAGTCCAGTTTCTCTTTTGATGCCGAAGGCAGAAGTGCCGCTCTCGTACGTCTCTCCTGACGCCCACCTGTACAGCGCGAACGCGATGACCTGCTCCACCGGGAATGGCATCCTATCGTGCGTCACCTTCTTCTCCACGTACGCGGCGCACGCGGCCACGATCTGCCTGAACATGGCCATCGACATGCGCAACTTTTGACGGCAGTACTCGTCCGTCGCGTCGTCACACAGGCGGAGGTCCTCCCATGTTCCTCCCATGTTCCGCCAGTCCGTCGTTTAATCCACCAGCGCGGGGTCTCCCGCGGGAAAACACCAGAAGACAGCGCGGCGCACAACTGGATGACTGCTTGACACGTGGCCACGCAATCTGGCGCTTCGCCAATGCGCTGCAACAACGCTCGTCGTTTGCGGAGCTCCGCCAGCGTGTCGCGTGACGAGGACGGCACACCGCGCATCGTGTTCACGACGACGGCAGTCACGGCCATCGCCACCGCCTCAATTTCGTCATCCCGAAGACCCTGCCCGCGCCCGCGAACGTCCATATCCAAGAACCCCGTGCTCTCCATAGCTAGACGCCTGCCACAACCGCCAAACAAACGCCCGCTGCTGAAAACCGCCACTTTGACGGCGCACGCCGGTGCCGAAGATGCAGCCGCTCGTGACGGCACGGCGCAGCCGAAAACGCGCCCGCTGCTCCACGCTTCCACAGGGCAGCGCGCACGATGTAGGTGAAGAAGCGCCCACCACGAAGATGCACCCGCTGGTCACAAGTTGCATGGAATCGCAAGACGGATACCCACAGCGTACGCTTCGCCACCGCCGTCTTTTGGACGTCACACACATCGCCTGGCCTTCCTCCACCGCGCTACCCTGCGTCCGCGAAAATTCAAATTTGAATTTTTGAAGTTCGGGGGGACCGCGCTTTTCACCCACCCCTTTTTTCTCCGCCCAAGGGCCTCCGCACTGTGTACCACGGACAACATCCAGGAAGAGACGGACATCGGCGGCGCGGCTGCGCATACGCATATGAAAACCGGCCGCGGGAGACCTTTTAGGACGATTCCTAAAAGATGATTTTTAGGACTGCGTGTAACGACGACGCACGGAATCCTAAAAAACCTTTAGGACTCGTCCTAAAAGTTTTAGGATTCTTTTATATGATGCAGTAGATGAACCTAAATATTGGAACTCAGATTTATTTCATTTTTGGGTAAACCCTGGCAATCGACCAAGAAGGCGCGTACCAGGACGTAGTGCTCACACGGCCCTTAACGTTATAATGGGTACCTTTCATTCGTGCGCAATGGTATACTGAAGGATCCCTGGAGGCTGAAGGCTACCTATCTCAAAGAAAGCAACGACATGGACTGCAAACTGCAGGCTCGGGAAGATTGCAAATTCTGGTTCAACAATTTTGCTTGCTTCAGTTACAGTGGTGGTTCGAAGAGCTTTTTCTATATAGTTATGCTTCTGCTGTGTTCACCCGAATGAAACAGCGGAATACAACGTACGGCTAAGCTACCAGAGTGGCCCGGGGTCACTTGCCCGGCCGGGCCAAATAAAAGAAAAGAAAAGAAAAATAAAAGAAATATTTTAAATTTTATTTTTCATTCTAAAATTGGTGAAGAATTTCAATCTGACCCGACACAAAAGTTGTTCAGTTTATTTTTCTGCATAACACAGTTTTTTTTGGGGAATTTTTTTATTTATTTTTTTTTTGCTGGGACCTTCCCTGGTCCTTGCACGGGCTGGGCACCCGGGACCCAGGCGGCCCGGCTGGTAGCCTAGACGTACGGTCATTATTGACATTGGTTCCATTCCATCAGACCGGGAACATTTTTCAGTGTACTAATAGAACACCTCTCTCACTATACTACATGGAATTCAACCAATAGTGGGCCGTGAAAACCTGCCTGACCAATAGCAGCCAGATCGATAGCTTTTTAGTTCTGCCACTAGATAGGCTGACAGAGCCTTGGCGCAAAACTGCTGCTTGCTTCGAGAGCCTTGGCGCGAAACTGCTGCTTGCTTCGTCCAGAGAATATAAGGCCCAGTCAGTGACCCAGCCAAGTTGAGAGTCCAATTGAGCCTCCCCTCAAAATTAGGAGGCTCGTGAGCCTTCGACGAAATAAATCAACGGGGCACGCGGCCTCTGAAAGGGGCCCGCGGCCGATGCCTGGCATGTACTCATGGTTTAAGCACCAGTACATGCCAGCTATAGGCCACGGGCCTCTTTCTCAAAACAGGTTCTCCAGTTCCCTGGGGCCATGTACTGGTGGTTTAAGCCCAACCAATTCAATTGACAAATCTGGAGAGGACGGCCTTTCAGGCCTTTTTTATTGTCATTATTACTTACGGGGAACCCTTGTCTGGCCATGGTGGGAAAGAATCTGGGCAGCCCTCTAAACTGACACAGACTGGCCATGGGAGTGGAGAGCCCTGCTCTGTGGACATTGGACGGCCCAAGGTTCTATTTTTACCTCCAACCTGTTTTCTATTGGTAGGAAAACGGTGCTAAGGGCCATCTGGAGTTACTGTTGCATGCTGACCATCGAGGGCGCACACAATCGACAAAGTCCCTCTCCAAAAGGACTGACATCACCCGCTACCTAAATGAATTCTGCATGGATTGGGCTGGGAGGAGAACGTGGGGGGAGGATAGCAAGGGTCCAATGGGATGGTTGGCACCTGGACGACGACCATCGGTTGGAAGCCGGGCAGAAGAACATTATCGACTCGGTTTCAATGACTGGACTATGGTCCCTGACGATATCCCCCCCCCCCCCCCCCCAGATTTCCCAGACCCGTTCCCCCTCCCTGATCACACGTTGATGGAAGTAAGTTGGTATGGTTGGGGGTAGGGAGTAGAGACAGCCCGCTCAACCTGGACACGAGAGTAGTTCTATAGCTGGGCAGTGGGAATGGCAGATGGGGGCCCCCTACCTCCGGTCGCCCCCTGGAGTAAGGAGGCCCATCCTCATCATTCCAACTGCCACCTACCAGCCCCCTTCTGTACCTGCCTGAGCAGGGCCCCGGAATGGCATATAGGCAAAAGTCAGTAAGTCACTGTTCCCATAACCTGCGCAGTCAATCCCCTTCACTCCAGGGCAATCAATGCTGACAGGTCTTTGATTCATTTTCCTCCAACAAATTTAGGGTCCAACAAATTTGGGGTACCTGATGTAAAAGGGATGCTGGCCCCGGTTTCCAGCAGGTGAAGCTCCCCACCTATAGATGGAGCCTAGGACCCTGGGGTGATAATAATGGTGCCTGCTCTTACCAGCACCACTATCACCCGTGAGGGATGTTAAAAAAAAAAAAAAAAAAAAAAAAAGAAGGCCCAACTTTCAGTCCAGATGCGGCGATAATGACTGGGCGTTGACCCGGCATTCTATTCGGGCAAAGAAGGTAGCATGCAGAACATCAACCTCAACCAAAAAACAGCCACACCACAAGATCACCTAAGTGAGTTTCTGGCTCCGCTCAATTCTCCAAGCCCCGGAGAGACCACAGGATCAAAAATTAAAAATACAGGAAGGGTATCGCCCTTCGGCACACCTGTTAAAATTGGAACGATACAGAGAAGATTAGCATGTGCCATGCACAAGGGAAAAAAAAAAACAAAAACAAAAAACCATCATTGGCTATCCTGCAGAAAGATGCACAGCAAGGGGTTGCTCACTAACCTGCAAGGCCCACCATAGTTGTGATGAAAAGCAGAGAAAAGTGGTTGGTTGGGGCGTGGCAAAATGTGCATACAAACCACAGGCATAATTGTACTGAGTGGGAGTAGGCGAGAGAGAAGACGGGACACCAAAGACCACACCAACCTTGAACAAAATTTCCTTCATATCGTTGCTACACGAAAAAAGAGAGGGCTATGCTTCACTCAGCAAACCCATCTCCAACCCAACGGGCTAAATACGCGAACCAGCCTAATCCTACAACCGCACAGCCTCTTCACTGCCAACGCAAGAGGCATGAGATCTTCCTCTTCGCTTTCCTTCAAAACACTACCCCACACAGCTGACTGTGTGAGTTAGCAAGCGTGTCTATGTGTCCAAAAGAGCGAGCAAGCGAGCGAGCGAGAGAGAGAGAGATGCATCTACCATGAAACTAGAGAGAGAGAGAGAGAGAGAGAGAGAGAGAGAGAGAGAGAGAGAGAGAGAGAGAGAGAGAGAGAGAGAGAGAGAGAGANAGAGAGAGAGAGAGAGAGAGAGAGAGAGAGAGAGAGAGAGAGAGAGAGAGAGAGAGAGAGAGAGAGAGATGCATCTACCATGAAACTATCAACGGCAGGATGCATCAATGTGGACCACAGAACAGCAATCTGCCAAGCATTCAGTTCCCGACTGGGATATGGTGCATCATAAGGCCAACAATCCAGACAGAAGCCTCTTAGGTAGCAAAGGAGGTGAGGATGTTCTTCTTCAGAGTGAGCTGTGTCTCCTTGGCCTTGGCAACAGCATTAGACTTGAGGATTCGCGAAATCCTCTCTCCCTCCTTGACGGCGTAATCCGCTCCTTTCTTGAGCACAGACTTAAACACCTTCACGTAGATCTCAGCATGAGCAGCCGCTGCGCCTGTGAGTTTGCCGGCGCTCTCCTCGGCCTTCTTGAGCAGCCCCTCTTTGGCAGATTCATCCGCCGACATGAACTCCTTGGCAATCTCGTCAAGCTCTGGAACCCGTCCTGCATCGCCGGTGAGTCCACCATGGACATTCCTGTGCGTTCCCGCCTTCCCGTTCACAAACGTAACCAGATCCTCAAGCGATCTGCCCCCCTCGTAGTCTTCCCCATGCTTCGACTCCGTACCGAACCATTTCAGCGTAGGGAATCCGCTGACCCCGTACTTGCTGCCGAGGTCCTTGTGAGCATCAGCATCCACCTTGGCGATGACCACACCATCCTCAGCAGAGAAGGCATCTGCGACTCTGTCGTAGATGGGAGCCAGACTCTTGCAGTGTCCACACCAAGGGGCATAGAACTCCACGAGTACATTCTTGCTCGGGTCCAGCGCAATCGCATCGAAATTGGACGGTGTCAGTACCACGACATTGGAGGGGGGGGTTGACGTCCTTGCATGGGTGCCTGCCTCCCTGTTCACAAACTCAATCAGGTCATCTGGGGTCCTCCCGCTTTGGTAGTCCCGAGGACTCAGAGATCCCTTCGGGAAGAACTTCAACGTAGGGTACCCGCTGATCGAGAACCTGGAGCAGAGATCTTTGTGAGCATCACAGTCCACCTTTGCAATAGCAACAGATCCCACCTTCTTGAATGCGGTACCCAGTACGTCCCAGTCCGGTGCCAACCTCTTGCAGTGCCCGCACCAGGGGGCATAGAACTTCACAAACACGTATTGATCCTTGCCCACAACCTCATCGAACGTTTCCGGCGTCAGTACAAGCACATCAGACCCCTCGACGTCACCGGCGCAGCGCACAACAGAAGGGAAGCCTACAAGGCAGACGATTGCCACGGCAATCACCGAGACCTCAGCTGCAGAGAACCTCCTCCCCCTCGCCATCTCGAACGACCCCCTTTTCACTTTTCACCCTTCTCTCTTCTCCCTTCCCTTCAACGTGCCGATGACGAACCAGAAAGGCCTGCCTTCATCATTCCCCCCATTAAAAAACGAAAATCAAAATCAGGACAAGACAAGACAAGCAGCAAACGCAGACGGGAATGTCAACTACTGCAAAACTGAACTTCCTACCCTCCACACGTTTTTTTTTTTTTTTTTTCTATTATTATTATTATTATTATTATTATTATTATTATTATTAAAGGGCGACGGCCTTGTGATATCATCATTAAGCTGACCGGGGCCAGGCAATTCAGAAATAGTTAGTTTTACAACTTTTACTCATCAACAGCTTCCATCATCATCTGGATTCGAACACGGGTCTGAACACGGGTCTGTATTTTCAACAGTTCATGGGTGTGGTCCCCACTGAGCTAGGCTCTTGGGTCACACGTTAATTTAAACCACTGCAATAATTCCTAGAGGAGTCGTGCCCGTTAACGCGCCACGATTTTGGGAGACGTACGGGCCACTACAGGAGCGTCCAAATTCATCCAACTAGAAAAGTTTCTACTCTTATTTTTTTCTGCGGCCGATAGCTGGGCGGCCAAGTACTGGTGGTCTAAACATACTTCTCGTTCCCACAAATTTCCCCCGAAATAGCTGGCAGAGGAACTTCTATCACCATAGGCAAACCAGCTAATGGCCCGTGTACCCAGGAATGTTTTTTTTTTTTTAAGGAATAATTTATAGAAACGGAAAAACAAAAGCAGCACCTATAGACCTGGACGTCCCGGCACGAGCGTCATTAAAAAGCGCTTCCGGTTTACTTATTCTGACAGAGGCGTAGACTGGTCAGCGCATTCGCCTCATTTCTGGTCCCATTGTTGAGGGATAAAAATGGGACCAAAAATAGGACCAAAATGGTCAGCAGACTCAGCACCTTGCTAGTTCGTTAATTGTTCCCATTTTTGTTCCCCCATTTTTGTTCCACCATTTTTATTCCCATTTTTGTTCCACCCTTTTCCTTCCCATTTTAGTTCCACCATTTTTGTTCCTTCCCATTTTTGTTCCCATTTTTGTTCCACCATTTTTGTTCCCATTTTTGTTCCACCATTTTTGTTCCTTCCCATTTTTGTTCCCATTTTTGTTCCCACTTTCGTTCCCATTTTTGTTCCCATTTTTGGTTTTTTTCAGGAGCTTCACCCGTTTCACGATCCGCGCGCGCTGAATCCCATCTTCTGCCCCAAACGGAAGAGGCTACCATAGGGGCTGAATCCCATCTTCTGCCCCAAAAGGAAGAGGCTACCATAGGGGCGAGAGACCCATTCGTCGAAGCCACATATTGGTGGTTATCCCACAGCAATACTAAGAAATCGACAAGATCCCTTAATTAAAGTCACTACATGTAGGTTACATGTTGCGGCTACGCCCGCCAAAAAACATGGAAATTCTGCAAACACAACCAAAGAAGAGCATGAGGGGTGGGTGTGGTGGCCTGAGTGCAGTTGGTTAGCAATTGCTCTATTCTATACGAGATACTTTCACATCCATTACCTACCTTGGCAGAACATCTCTCCCTTGCTGCATAACAAACAAGTATTCGCTTTCAGATGTCAAGAAATACGCAATTCTTCACATTTGGGGGTTCGTCTTTACACTTCGTTTTTCCTTCTCTGGGTTTAACGATAAAAGCAAGCCACTCCAAATGACCACCCTCTCTCTCTCTCTCTCTCTCTCTCTCTCTCTCTCTCTCTCTCTCTCTCTCTCTCTCTCTCT